TTTGTTGCTGCTTAGGCCAGTGTCCTTTGTTCCTGTGAGGCTGGGCTGGGTTTGTCCCATACATGCCCTGATGAGGTGTGAACTGCCCCTCTGTTCCTGGAGAGTTTTGCCTGGGCTTGTTTTAAGCCATGAGGACACATTTCAGGCTCATAACTGTATACATGAAATTACAACCTGTAACATTACTATAAGAACAATGCTCAGTGCTTCATGAGCCTTCCGAAGACACCCGACATGACAAACTTTGCATTAGATACCACACAATCATAAGGATGAACATGGAGGTGCAGGGTGTCCCCCCCGAGGTACAGAACGTCACACCCTCCTCACAGATTCTATGGTGGCATCAGTGAAGAACAAATGGAACTGCTCCTACTGCACCAAAAAAATCCATAGTATGATGCATGTGGGTGTAGGAGCACAGCAGCAAACATGTCTTGCACCGAACCTTGATTTTTCTGGTTGAGTAGGGGCAGGATGTGTGTGCTCTTTTTAGAGGGAAGCTCTAGAGGCTTGGCTTGGCTTGGGGGCCAAAAAAAAGGTGAGCTCCAGCAGGGTCTAGGTGCAGCATATGTCTCTGAGGTGCTATTAAGCAGGGATGCATCTGGGTCTGTAGTTTGCCATGGAATTAGAGCAACCTCATGTTTCTATTTAGTTGGTAGATTCTTTTGCTTTGGGGTTAACAAAAAAGATATGAGTCAGCTGCTAAAAATATGTTTTGGGGGGCTGTTGCACCGGTTTGCAATGGGGTTTGGACTTTATGTACTAATCCTCGTCAACGTCACGGTCTCCTTTGAGAACAGGACCCTGGCATTTCGTGAAGCCAGAGCTCGTAAGCTGGAAAAGTATGCCCCCCCCGGCTGACACCCTGAGAGCGAAGGGCTACGAGGTGCAGATGGACACCCTGATTGTCGGAACCCTGGGCGCCTGGGACCCCTGCAACAAGCGTGTGCTGCGGACCTGCGTGATCGGTCGATGCTACGCATGGCTCATGCGACACCTCATGGTCTTAGACACCATCCAATGATCCAGGGACATCTACATCAAGCACATCACCGGCCACCGACAGTACCAGGAGGCGTGAGCCAGAGTGATATCGTTCTCCCACTACGAGAAAAGGACCAAGAGACCTTCTCCGTTGGATCATATGAACTGGAACCATAAACTCCCTGAATATTAAATCTCACCAAATAAGGGTCAATCCATCCTCATCATCATATCCACTCATTATACTCCATACCCGAACATAGCCACTCTATGAACTTCATACCCTCATATCTCAATGTCTGTACTTTGACCCATCAACCTTTTACCCCCAATCGGGGATATTGCAGATTATGTATTCCTTATGCCACCCGATCTTAAACCAAACTTTGCACCCTCGATAATCTGTATGTTATTTCCTGATAATCAGAAACTTCTATGCTCAAACTCTGTTCACTTTTTTCTTAACATCATCTTAATAGAGTGATATCATTAATCAACTACAAGAAAGGGACCAAGAGACTTTCTCCATTGGATCATATGAACTGGAACCATAAACTCTCTGAACATTAAATCTCACCAAATGAGAGTCAATCCATCCTCATCATCATATCCACTCATTATACTCCACACCTGAACATAGCCACTATGGATATTGCAGATTATGTATTCCTTATGACACACAATCTTAAACCAAACTTTGCACCCTCGATAATCTGTATGTTATTCCCTGATAACCAGAAACTTCTATGCTTAAACTCCGTGCTGTTGAGTTTTTTTTTTACATCATCTTAATAAAATTTTTAGAACTGCTGTATCTTATTCCAGACATAAGTTAAAGGAATGTAGTTGAAACTGGTAAGCTCCATCAGAGTCCAGGTACCAGATATCAAGCTTGAATATTTTTCTAAAACATATTCTCTAGGAATTGCTTTGTTACACTGGAGGTCAAACTACTAGATGATCACCACAGTGGTCCCTTCTAAGCTTGAAATCTATAAATTTACATGGTTTTCTTGTTCTTGGACCAGGATACATCAGAGTCCTTATTTCAGTGAAGTAGGAGCAGCTATACTTGTTTTCTATATAGATTGTACAGTTTGGGGCAAAA